TTAGAGTGCTTACTGCTTTACCCCTGAAATTCCCCACTCTAGCTGGTAGGCTCTACCCTACATAACACACCAGAACCATTTTTAACTTCCTTACCTGCACCGGTGGTAGTCTTGGCATTTATCATCCGCCTGGACTCTGAGCTGGTCTCCCACCTTCTCTCCTATTCCCTGAGCCCCAGTCTATCCACACCACAGCAGCTGGAGTGTCCCGACAAGCCCTGTCAGTTTGGGCCACTCTGTGGAATAAAGCTCTTTCCAGGGCCATGGGACCCCACGTGATCAGCTCCACTCTCCCCACTCCAGATTCTTTTACTCCAGCCACTCTAGGCTCCTTGGTGCTCTGCACCACAGACTGTTCCTTGTGCCCATGGACCCCATCTTTCTCCTGCTGTAAACCAATGTCTCCACTCTAGGCTCCTTGGTGCTCTGCACCACAGACTGTTCCTTGTGCCCATGGACCCCATCTTTCTCCCCTGTGTAAACCAATGTCTCCACTCTAGGCTCCTTGGTGCTCTGCACCACAGACTGTTCCTTGTGCCCATGGACCCCATCTTTCTCCTGCTGTAAACCAGTGTCTCCACTCTAGGCTCCTTGGTGCTCTGCACCACAGACTGTTCCTTGTGCCCATAGACCCCATCTTTCTCCCCTGCTGTAAACCAATGTCTCCACTCCCTTATGAACCTCTACAGTGCTTGGCACATGGCAAACACTGTAATGATTAACTTTTTCTTTGAGACAGGGTTTCACTGTGCAGCCCTGGCTATACTGGAACTCACTCTTTAGAGTAGGCTGGCCTTGAACTCAGAGATCCACCTGCCTCTGCCTCCAAGAGCTGAGATTAAAGGTGTGCACCACCACTGCCCAGCTAATGAATAACACTCTTTAATGATGAAATAAAGGTCTTTTGAGAGTAAAGCTCTATGATGTACTAAGGACCTATGCTGGTTTAGGAAGTGATCTATAATGGAAAGGAATTTGCAGGGCCCCTAAGCCCTTCCATCTCTGTACAGTCATCCTGACATCTGAAAAGTACATGCACTTGAAATGCCTTTGCTGTTTGTCATCTGAAATAATATGCAACATGAATAGTGTAAGTATAAATACGTGAGGGTCATGCATCTTTGAGTCTTTTTATTATTTACAACTATCAACAAATACTCATATATTAGCAAGTCCAGCATAAAAGCAGATCATATGCAACTTGAAAACAGAGTGAAAATTGGTTGGTAAACAAGTCTTTGAGATGCTTGAAATTTTTACCCTATTTGTGACAGTGAGTAATAAACACAAAGTAAAAATAATTATATAAAATAAAATATAAAACCAAATACAAATATAATAAGCAGCTAATACACATGAGAAACATTTTTTACATAACTACAAATAGGATTCTTGGCATTAATTTTGGTCTATTTCCATAAGTTTGCTTTGGTGTGGTGGTTGATTTCTAAGCCTCCTGATATAGGCAAACATAACTCCATTTATGGTTTAAACCTGGAATGGCCCTGTAATGCAGAACTAAAAAGTAAGGAAAGAATTTTTGGAAAAGGTCCAAACTGCAAACAAAGCATCAAAACCTTAAAAAAAGTAAAATTTATTTTTTTCCCAATTGGCTATACAATTATTCTGGCTCTCAGAAACTGAAGTATTTAAAAATATTTTATGTCTATGAGTGTTTCGCCTGCATGTATGTATGTGTGTCATGTGTGTGCCCAGTGCCTGAGTGTCTGGAAGAGGACGTCAGATCCCCTTGGAACCCGAGTTACAGATGGTTGTGAGCAGCTATATGGTGCTGGAGAACAAACGCACATCCTTGACAAGAGGAGTTAAGTGCTCTTAACTGCTGAGTTATCTCTAGCCCCAGAAACTGAAATCTTCAACATGAACCAGGATCTTCATTGATTTCTCTGGTGAAATTGAGCACAGATTGTGTGTGTGGGTGTGTTTCATTAGAATACATATTATATGGCCGGGTAGTGGTGGCGCACACCTTTAATCCCAGCACTCGGGAGGCAGAGCCAGGCGGATCTCTGTGAGTTTGAGGCTAGCCTGGTCTACAGAGGGAGTTCCAGGAAAGGTGTAAGGCTACACAGAGAAACCCTGTCTTGAAAAGCCAAAAAAAAAAAAATATTATAAGACAAAAATGTACTTTATACAAGGAAACAGACTCGTATTCATTTTAGCACAGCAAGCCTTGTATGTATGTGAACACTTGTCTAAAATGAAGTACTAGTGCGTGGGATACAGCTCAGTTGGTAGAGTACTTGCCTCATGCACAAAGCCCTGCATTCAATCTCCAGTATGGCATAAATTGAGCATGTTATTATCTAGCACTCTGGAGGCAGAGGTGGGAGCATCAGCAGTTCAAAGTCACTCTAGCCTGCACAGTGAATTCAAGGCCACCCTGGGCTACATGATACCCTGTCTAGAAAGAAAGAAGAAAGAAATATCCTGTCAGTTCTAAAGTAGTAAGGATTAACAGAGTAGGGGAAGAGAGATTACAAAGATTCTGTAAAGATCTGGCGAACACCATACACTGCTTCAGCAGTGGACTCATCTTTTAACTAGTTTGCTGAGTTGAGTGGTATGACATCTTCACAGCCTAAGGCATAATCATGGAGCAGTCCCGGGAAGCACCAGGGAAGGCTGGTCCAAGAATGGCCACGGGTGGATGACTGTGCTGACCACACATGCATATTTCAGTACATCACTCTCAAAAACTATACATTTCTCCACAAGCCAAACAATGTCCTGGTCTTTACTGTGGACTGCTGGCTGTTTACAGTATGGGTTTTGTGAGAAAGGAGCACTTAAAACGGGCTGTGACTTAAATGTACGTTCTTCCTATGAAGACGATACATTTGGAACGAGGTAGTTCTGGAAAATTGAAGTGCTCACAGTGAAGATATAGGGCAAAGTCATTACTAGGGATAACTCTGGGAGTGGGAGCTACACTCACATGTGAAGGAGGTTAGCACTTACTTTGTTTACCTGCACTGGTTTTGATGAATTGTTAGCAACAGCAAACCATATTTAAACAATCATAGTTCAACTTACACGTCATTCCCTGCTGTTTTTTTTTTATATGATGAAGGATTATTGAAGTAGGATATTCAATGAAGAGTTTTGACTTTTAAAAATATATGCCAATTATATGTTACCAAATCCATTTAAAGCCTAAACATTTTGAAAGTGGGAAAGATTCTCATTTGGTGAGAAGCACTGTTTGTGCATCTCGCTCCCATTCCTTTAAATGTTAGTTTTTGTGGAGGACAAGCAGGTGATCCTGGACACTTGCTTCATCACATACATAACCCTAAGCCTGAGCCACAGGCCCATACGTGTTTGCTAAAGACTAGACTCAGCCTTCAGGGCAAGTCCATCATTTCAGAGGTCGACACAGAGCATGGCCCACTGCCTGGCACCTAGCAGGATAATGCACTGCTGGGCACAGAATTCTCCACTCCAATAAAGGCCCTAATTCTGTGGTGAGATTGGACTATGTCTCTGGTGGCTTCCTGATAGTTACATATAAAAAAAAGTGAAATTTATTGGCAATATAGCACATCATGAACTCCCTAAACAAACATTAAATCCATTTGCCCAAGGTTATGAAGAAACAGTGATTACAAAGCAGAGTCCCTTTCCTAGTATAACTGCAATAATATGGTTAATTTGGAGACAAACAGGGGGACTTTCAAAATGTATAGTAAAAATACACACATTCTCTCTTTAAAGTCCCCTGTACCTTAAGTTAGAGTTGTATTCTAAAGTGTTCATGAATGAAACTGTGCTTCCTGGAATTTTCTTTAAAGCATTACAGTAAAAGGGGTCTGTAATGTAATGTAAAAGAGGAGACAGGTCAAACATTAGCCGCCAGCAGGTCTGGGTGACAGGCACTTCGTGTCCTCATGTGCTATTGATTATCTTATCCTACCGTACCTGTGAAGCCCCCAACCTCTGCCAGTGAAACAGACACTTCCAACAAATTTCAGTGGTAAAGAGTAAAGGCAAAATAAAGGTGTTTTCAACTATCAAAAGTACTACATTGAGTAAAGTGGCACATGGGAGGCAGAGGCTGGCAGATCTCTGTGAGTTTGAGGCTAGCCTGGTCTACAGAGCAAGTTCTAGGCTAGTTGGGGCTACAGAATGAAACTCTGTCTTTAAAAAAAATAATGTTTCATATGGGAAAAATTGGTAACTTGCAACATTCTATATAGAACAAGTTACATGACTTATAATACTGAATGGTCGCAAACAACTGAAGTGTTCATCAATAGGGAGCTAGTTAAACATGACATGTCCACGGCCAATAAAATACTATGCAAAAATGAAAAGTGCTGAGTAAAGCAAGAAGTCCCAGGGCAGCACACACAGCTTTCTTCTCGCCCATAGGCAATGTCTGGAAGAACTTCCTCAGTATTCCGAGTGATCATCTCTGCAAAGAGCAATTGTAGGCAGATTTTTACTTTTTAGAAATTTATGATTTTGTTTTATATGTCTGGGTGTTTTGCCCACATATATGACTGCATACCATGTTCAAGTCTGATGTCCTCAGAGTCCAGAAGATGGCATTATATCCCCTGGAAATGGAGTTACATATTGTTGTGAACCACCATGTTCGTCCTGGGAATTGAACCAGGGTCTTCTAGAAGAGGAGCCAGTGCTCTTAATTGTTAAGCCATCTCTCCAGGCCCCAATTAAATTAAACTTGTTTATTGAACTACTCCATATTGCTATAAAATCTTTACTGAAGTGTATATTAATTTTATAGCTGGGGGATAGTATTGTCCATAGATCACTGTAGAAACTACAATTTTCTCATGTTATTCTTCCTACTAGAATGACTTCATGTTAATATCATGTTGGGCATTAAGTAATTCAAAATGAGAAGGTGACCATACTTCTGAGAACATGGAACTAGAACAGATTTCTCTCTAAAAATGCAAATAGCCATTTCTAAGGCACATACAATATTTTCTTCAACCACATGAGAGCATTAAAATGGAGATGTTTAAGACTGCATAAGATACCACATCATAAAATATACAGAAACAGACTTAGGTACCTTTTACTTAATTCAAATCAGGTTGAAAATTCTACTAGCTATAGAAAGAAATAGCATTTGGAAAAGAAAAATGTTTTCTAGTTGGTTCTTAAAGAATCTAAATGTATGCCAATAGTTTTATGTGAAGAATATTTGTGGATTTTTTTAGTAATGTTTGTTCTTAGAATAGAACAGATGGCAACAAGGAATAAAATGTTATTTCCAGATGTACAATTTTGTGAATTTGGTGCCAGGGACCCAGAATGATAATTAAATCTCAAGTTTAAGCATAGCTGGCACCGTGGCGCTTCAGGAGTAGATTTCAACTTAATGATTAGTTCTGGGACTTCACTGAAGGTCTGTTATTTGGGTCATGCCCAATCAGAAGATATTTCAGTGGGTCACAGTCTTGCATATTCAGTGAGCTGCTGTGGCTGCAATGCTGGCACTGGCTTCCTAGTCTGTGAGACCCTGGAACTAAAGAGAAGAGAGCCTGAAAGGGGGGGGGGTGTCCTTTCTCAAAGCCATTCTTTGGGTCTACACAATGTAAAACAGTTGTTTATTCACAGGATGTGCTGTTCCTATTTCCTTGCTAATTTAAGTGTAGCTATCTCTGTTTAAGTAACTTAAGCAAAACAAGTGCACACCACTGCAGTTACCTGGTGGGCAGTCTCTGTTCCACACTGTACTCAGCCTCAGGAACCCTGAGGGAATTCTTGGGTTTTGTTGTACTAGATACCTGTATCAGATTGAAGAACAGCATTTTGTTACAAATTAGACATATTACTACTATCAGTTTTGACTCTTAAGGGAGCAGGTCTCTTTATAAAAGACTTTGACAATCTCATACACACACACACACACACACACACACACACACACACACACACACACACACACAATGAACTTTGGTCATTTTCATTTCCAGTACTTCCTCAAACCCTCTCCTCTCTTCTATCAAAGCCCTTTAAAACAGGTCCTGCTCCTACTCTGATGTCTTTATTTTGCTGACCAACTGAGTTTAATTTTGGTTACTTGCATGAGCACGGTGGGAAATTATTTGCTGGAGCATGGTCAACATGTCAGAGACTACACCACCAAAGAAAACAGTCCCTTCCCGCTAGCGACCCTTAACAGCTCACACTCTCTCAGGGTGGCTGGGAACTCATGAGCCCCTTTCCCCATCCATGCTGAAATGTTGGCAGGCCCAGTCTTCTTCAGGTCTTCTGCAGGGAACCATAGCTCCAGGGAGTTCATGGGCTCGAGGGCCATGTCATGTCCAGAGACACTGTTTCACAGCGCTCCTCCCCGTCAGCCAGCTCTGACGTCCTTTCTGCTCTCTTACTACAGTGTTCTGTGGACCATGGATGTCCTTTTTGTTGTTGTTTGTTTTTTTCGAGACAGGGTTTCTCTGTGTAGCCCTGGCTGCCCTGGAACTCGATCTGTAGACCAAGCTGACCTCAAACTCAGAGATCTGCCTGCCTCTGCCTCCTAAATGCTGGGAATAAAGGCATGGACCACCACTCTACCGCCTGGCTAGATGTCCTTTTTAAGGTGGAGCACAGTTGGCTTTCTTAATTACCGCATTTCTACATCAACTTGGGCATGTTATTTACATTCTTATTTAAGGGTCTGAAAGTATAGCCTATTATGGGTTTTTCCAGATTGGAAGGAAAACAAACCTTTACCTGTTTCTTAGAAGAACCGGGTCGCCCCTGACGTGCAGCATTAGAGCAAAGCTTTGTAGCAGATTTTGAAGACTCAAGACATAACTTCCTTCTGTGCTTGTGGGATGCTTTGCTCACTGTGAGGCCACAGTCACCTCCATCAGCTTCTTTAATTCGATTTGCTAGCTGTGGCTGCTGTAGTTGGGAGTCTTCAGTCTCTAAGTCTGATTCAAAAATGTGTGGCTGGCTTTTGAGCTTTAGTGACTCATGGCTTTTCCCCAAAATTTGTGTTATAAATCTGCTTGTTAAATTGTGTTTTCCACTGGTGTGGCTGTCGACAGCATTTTTTATCACCCTTAAGCTGTTACTTGACATTTGTGTCACGGCATTAGCAGACAGTGGTCTACCTTCACTGGAGTACACAGTCTGCTTCCCATCAGAAGCTGGATGGTCCCTCTCGTGCTCACAGAACTCAGAGCTCTTCTCTAGCGGAGGTCTGACGCTCTTCTGGTTTAAGTTCCTGGCCTGTACCCGAGTGTTACTATCTGGTCTTTTTCTAGTAGGGGAACCTAAACTTGGTCTGCCTCCCTGGGTTGCACTAGTTCTCTGTGCCGGCAGGGTAGGCTCTGTAACCGCGCTCTGTTTTCTTTTCGTGTTGCCAAGTGCTGAGCTGTCTTTGTTCCCTTGCTCAGATTTCCTTTTGAAAACTGGTATGAATGCCGGGGGTCTCTTACTTTGTGAGCGTTGAACTTGTGTGTTTTCTCTGCCGAGTTTCGACACTTCCAAATGCAGCTGTGGTGCCTGGAGAGGCCAGGAGGGCTTCGGGTCCCGAGGAGACCCTGGCTGGAAGGGATCAGCTGAAAACCAGCCTGAGCGCTGCTGGTTGACAAAAGGCTCCACCTTGTGGTTGACTGCGGTTGGCTGTGGGACTAAACATAGAGCCCCTGTGGGTTTCAGCAAAGTGGCCTGAGTTAGAGAAGCTCTGAAGTGTTTCTTAGTCGTCAGATTAGGGGGTTTGACTTTGTTTTCCTGGAAGGATAGACATTAGGGAAATGTAAAAATGTAATAATTATAAGTGAAATGAGAAAGAAAATAAAACGAATCAGAATAAGAATACAAAGTAACACTAAAATGCATAGAACCATTGAAAAAGAAAATATAAACGAGCCTTCTGATGTAATGTGTAGATTTCTCATGGCACATTATAACCCTATGTAGATCAACTGTAAAAATTACACCCGGCTACCACGAATTTGCTCAAGCAAGCATCTGGCTCCCTGTGTCCCTCTTCTTTCCACTGCTCTATGCTGTGGTTTTCCTTCCTTCCTTCCTTCCTTCCTTCCTTCCTTCCTTCCTTCCTTCCTTCCTTCCTTCCTTCCTTCCTTCCTTCCTTCCTTCCTTCCTTCCTTCCTTCCTTCCTTTCTTTCTTTCTTTTCTTTGTGGTTTTTCGAGACAGGGTTTCTCTGTGTAGTTTTGGTGCCTGTCCTGTATCTCACTCTGTAGACTAGGCTGGCCTTGAACTCATAGAGATCTGCCTGGCTCTGCCTCCCCAGTGCTGGGATTAAAGGCGTGTGCCACCACCGCCCGGCGGCCTCTCCTTTCTTTAAAGTCCCATATCCTATGAGTCCTCCACCAGTCCACCTACCACATAATGGACTTTTATTTCAATTTTCAAGGTCCTGTTACTAGTTAGTATTTGTCATATAAACAGCACAAGGTAGTGTGGTCAGGCACTTTAGTGTCCACATTCTATCTCCCTAAACAGATATTGACATCTTGGAGTGTGAGAACTATGGCGTATGTATTCTTGTCTTCTAAAGTTATTGAGAAATGCTTGCTGAAAAGAGCTAATGGAGGGTGGGTGCATGTGCACGGGACCTTTAAGTGAGATGTAGACTTCAGGGCAGGCTGCCTGTCTTAAGCCTGCTTGTGTTTTCACTGTCTACCACAGTTTCTGGCGCCCAGCAGGAACTCAGCAAGGATTTGTCAAACGGACTAGTTAGACACAGCAAGAAGATCCAAACATGTCCTCTCCTTTAGGAGCTCGATTTTACCATGCTCACTTCTGAGCACACAGACTAAAGCTGGAACAGGACAGAGGTCAGTTTGGCCCCTGCACAAGGACGACAGGCAAACTTGTGAAGTGCTCCATATTTAATAACGGAGCAAACAAAAAGAAACAGAACAGTTCCGTTACACCGTTCCAGGTGCACAGTTCAGAGGCCTCCAGCACACTTGCCACTGAACTGGGTGACAGAACTGTCACCTGCCTTCTCTTACCCCACACAAAAACAAAACTCTGTGCTTTGTAAATAATAACTCACACCTCCCCTTACACCGGGATTCTGGTAACTCCCGCCTGTTTTCTTTCGCCATGTCTCTGCCCGTTCTACACACTTCATATGAGATCACATGATATTTTCTTCTAGTGTCGGCTCATTTCACCTAACATGCTATGTTTTCAAGATTCAGGCATGTTGTAGCATGTATCAGAATTCCTTTTCTCATGATTGGCTATTCCATTGTATGTATATGACAGTTTGCTTGTCTCTTCAATTGCTGATGGAAAGTGCTTCTAGTGTTTTGAAGCAAATGTATCCTGGGCTTGAGCTTCTGTGTAAGGACAACTGCACTGGGTAGTTTTTGTCAACTTGCCACAAACTAGAGTCACCTGGGAATAGGGGGTCTCAACTAAGGAACTACCTCTTCCAGACTGGCCTGTGGGCCTGCCTGGGGAGGAATTTTCTTGATTAATCATTGATGTCAGAGGGTCCAGCCTGCTGTGGACGTTGCCACCACTGGAAAGGTGTTCCTGTGTTATATAAGAAAGCAGGCTATGAAGAGCAAGCCAGTAAGTACCGTTTCTCCACGGTACCTGCCTCTGCTCCTACCAGAGTTCCTGCTCTGAGCTTCCTCAAGGACAGCACCCTCCCCAGCCCTGTGATGCTTTTGGTCATGGTATTTAGCAACAGAAAGTAAAGGAATATAGTAAAAATTGGCAATAGCTTGAAATGTAGACCACAGATTTATCTTTCTATTCTTAGAGATTAGATTAAAAATATGTCACAGCTTGAAACAAAAAACGTAAAAGTTATGCAAACCAGAACAATTAATTTTCCTTTCTTCTATCGAGTTTCAGGTTTTTTAACTTAAAAAGTTTTTATTCACTTTACATACCAACCACAGATCCCCCTCTCATCCCTCCTCCTGCTCCTCCCCCAATCTACACTCCTTCCCCAGTCCACCCTGGATCCTCTCTTCCAAAAGGGTAAGGCCTCCCATGGGGACTCAGCAAAGCCTGGTATATTCAGTTGAGGCAGGACCAAGCCCCTCCCCACTGCATCAAGGGTGAGTAAACAAGGTTTCCCACCACAGGTAATGGGCTCCAGAAAGCCAGTTCATACACCAGGGATAGATCCTGATCTCATTGCCAGGGGGCCTCTTAAGCAGACCAAGCTACACAATTGTCTCGCTTATGCAGAGGGCTACTCAGCTGTAAAAAACAATGATATCATGAAATATCAGGCAAATGAATGGAACTAGAAAATATCATCCTGAGTGAGGTAACCCAGACTCAGAAAGACAAACATGGTATGCACTCACTCATAAGTGGATACTAGATGTAAAGCAAAGGATAACCAGACTGCAGCCCACAGCTCCAGAGAAACTGGCTAACAAGGAGGACCCTAAGAGGGACGCATGGATCACTTTGGGAAGGGGAAACAGATGAGATCTCCATGAGTAAACTGGGGATGGAGGGGTTGGCAATGGAGGGGAGGGGATGGGGGATGAGAACATGAGGGAATGGGGTGGTTGAGCTGGGGTAGGGATCAAGTGGGAGAGCAATGAAAGAGATATCTTGGTAGAGGGGGACATTATGGGGTAAGGAAGAAACTTGATGCTATGGAAATTCCCAGGAATCCACAAAGTTGACCCCAGATTAGACTACTAACAATAGTAGAGAGGGTGCCTGAACTAGCCTACGCTGGTAATCAGATTGGTGAATACCCTAACTGCCATCATAGAGCCTTCATGCAGTAACTGATGGAAGCAGATGCAGAGATCCCCAGCTAAGCACCAGGCTGAGCATCAGGAGTCCAGTCAAAGAGAGAGAAGAAGGATTATATGAGCAAGGGGGTCAAGATCACATTGAGGAAACCTACAGAGACAACCGAACCAGGCTTGTAGGAACTTATGAACATTTAGACCGACAGCTGTGGAGACTGCATGAGACTGGACTAGGCCCCCTGCCTACGGGAGACAGTTGTGTAGCTTGGTCTGAGAGTTTCAGTTTTTGAATGGGGCTGGGAAGAGACTAGTGGAGAGTCAGGGAGATTAGAATTATAAGTAGCACAAAAAATGGTAAGATTGATCCAGTTATCTACTAGACATAACAAGGCACATAAAAATGAAGAGGCTTAAAATTAAGAAAAAAGCAGGACTTCAATATATACACTTTGGGGGACACAGTTCTTATGCCTATGAAAAAGGGGCACAGATGTTCTTCAGAATCTTCTCTTTACAAGGGAACTAACGTAAAACTAAAAGTCTGGTAAGCACAGCATCTTTGTCAAGACATCATATGAGCAAAGACTACTACCACCATCAGACCGGTCCAAGAAGGAAGGCCTCTTCTACTCACAATGGGTGCTATACTGGTGCCAAAGCTCTACTCTGCTCTGCCCATTGCTCCTTCTGGAACAAGACCTGAAAAGCCAAAGTGCCATTTCCTTGTTGGCATTTAGGCCGCTGACTTAGAGCCTGTCAATCAGATGCACATCTCACCTGCTGGAAGGAGGAGGGAAGGGGGCAATGGCTGTGCCAGCTTTGCTGAAAAGGCCAACCTCAACACTTCCCTTGACGTCAGACATCGTTAGCAGAAGTCACACTGTCACTCACTGGATTTCTGGGTGCAGTGCAGACACACATTAGGGTATCTGCTCCCCTGCTACAGAGAGTACTAGATGACTAACACACTTCCCCACAAACCATTGCCATTGTCTTATACACACTATGTAATCCTACCACATACCCGGAGATATTTTGTCAAAACTTATGGAGTCATTCTGGAGAGCAAATGTTTTCCCATTGCTCTGAAAAACACATATCTGAGAACTAAGTTGAAGTTAATTATAGACAAGCAAAGAACACCTGCTTTTTAGATCCTTGGGTTTCACAGACTGCATGGTTTTTTAAAATGTACCCATTACTTGAGATACACAAAGAAAAACTCTAGGCAGATCTGGATAAGGACAAATTACTTGCATTCTGAGGATATGTGTGTCTGGGCCTGAGATATGTTATATCCACACCAGTTTCTCAAGAGCACATCTGTGAGAGTTGTGTCTAGGAGACCATTTTTCTCCCTAGCTTGTCAATATATTATTTACTCATTGTTTTAATTTTTAAAATACTGTACATAGCCAAAAGGGAGGAAACTTTTAGGTTTATATTCAAAATGTATAGAAATAGCCAAAAGGGCCTATGTAAACAACAGATGAGGTCATAAATAATTCACAGAACTTAAATATTCTTAAATTGTCAACAAACTGAAGCTTTGTGAAGCCATCAGCCAATTAAAAAGCATACGCTCCACTATACACATCATTTGTCTAGGTGTCGTTGGAAAACGTAGCTTGGTAGACTTTTAATTTCTAGCAATGACACATAACATATACAACTTTGTATAATGATACCAAATTATATAAAATAGAAGTTTTAAAGATATCCAGTGGCATTCCAGTCCTAAGGAATTGTTAAGGAGAATTTGAGAAGTCTACCACTTATCTAAGCGGTGTGGTTGGATGTTACTCAAGGGTAAGTCCTTGCATTTGGTGTGGGAAAATCAGGACAGTGTCTTTCTTCCTGTTAACCATTAAAACATCCAGGGAGAGTAAGGCAAAAAGAGATCAGTATGCTTAGGCTTAGCAACACACACACACACATACACACACACACACACCATGGTTGCTGAAATTGGAGGTAATGTAACCCAGAGTGGCACACTCTGCCTAAACTAGCAGTAATGGGCAGTGTTATAAAATGTCAGGGGAGGGAGAGAAAATTTAAAATTTTAAAAAGGAAGTTGAAAAGTAAGCAGAATGACTAATCAGATGGTCGTTATTTATTAAAGTTTGGTTCTGTGTATGGCACAGTTGTCTGTCTTGTTTAAAGCAGAGCTGCTGACTTATAAGAAATATGGAAGCTAGAAAATATGTTAGCTTTAAATGACATATCACACAAGGAAGCAGCTGCTCAACTCCAGGATGGAGAATGTCCTCCAGGGCAAGTCCTCCTGTTTCTAGCAAACAACAGCCGTAAATAATGCTCTAGAATAAAACACACTTAGCAGATAGAATGACCAAGGGATGCAAAATGGTCCTGTTTAGATTTTAACTTGACAAACCCCTTAAAACCTTTGAGATAAATGAGAGCCATATGACCTGGGTTTGGTGACACTTAGGAAGTATTCATTCTGTACAGTACATAATGACATCAGCTATGTGAAGGTGCTTTTAAATGCTGCGTGTGGTAGAAGTACACTCTACAGGCTTTACAGAAGATGAAATAACATTTTATCTGATATTTTTTCAAAACATCCATTTTACCCCTTACTTAAAATTCATTTTCTCGTAAGTATTTTTGAAAATTTCCATAATTAAAACAAACCTAGTCTGGCTAAGCACTCCTGCTAAACTAATTTTATAAAATGTCAGCTGCATGTAGAAAGCTCAAGAGGGTTATACAGCTTGGCTATTGTCCCCCATGAAGAGCAATGTCTCCTGACAGGGCTGGCCATAGTCGTGGGAACCTACTTTAGCTGCTAATTTCTC